AGGATTAATTATTACTAGTACTATATACTATCTAATTTTATATCACTAACTTCATCCAATTACTCTTATGGCACCTAAGTCATGTCTGCTGCATGTCTGCATGCAGTTATTTTAACAACCACTTGTAGTCAGAGCATCCTATTAAACTGCTACACAGACAAGAATATCTACTAAACTTAATATGTTATCCCAAATGCCAAAGGTACTGTCTTCTGTAAATTGTATTCATATGTCCTACTTATATGTTTTATCTGGTCTTGTTTCTTTTGCCTTCTAATCTAATTATATTTAATATTATCTTGTTTCTTATATTTCTTATCTTTTTGTCACTGTACTACTTCCAAATTGGTCCTATTTGAATATGTCTGATCCTTATGACCTTTCTATCTTTGGTATATCTGTTATTGATTCCTCTAAGATGTTCCAACAATAGTTCAGAATCTGCAATAAATTCATATCTCAAGTCTGATCTGCTGTTGCTATTAGTCTTTTGACCAATTCGTATTTCAAGCCAGGTCTGGTGTTATTATTTCTGCAGATGCTCTAGGTCTTAATATTATACAGTAACTCAATGCTGCATTTAACCTTCAGCATAGTGCTTCCTTCTATAATAGAAACTAAGACTTGTTGCACTTACAAATAGAACAATTTTAATTATATCTAGGAAGTTCCTTTAACCTTAGTAATACTATACTATTATATATTGCAAGCTTTTAGCTTATTCGATAATATCTATAGGACAATTCTGGTTATGTCTAGAGAGTTACACTGACCCCAATAATGCCATATTACTTTGCAGATCTTATCTTATATTGGTTGGTTGATCCCAGTCTTGTTCGTCATAGACTTCTATATAGGTACAATCAGAAACCTAATTTGGTACTTTTACATTATACAAGAAAGTTATATGCCAACCTTCAAAATTTTTTTTTTTTCTATAATTAGATTATTCAGCTATGCCAAAGGTGCTTCTAATTTTTGATTAGATCAATTCTTTATCATAGCTCATCCTTGTGTTTACTATTTCTCTTATCATTTCAGTTATGATTATTTTTAGAATACTCTCCCAATTAAATTTTTTTTTTGAATTCTAATTAAGACTTATTTGCACAGTCTGTTGATTATTCTTTTAAGTAAGTAACCCACAAGTTAGGTGCAGAGATGTTGGTACTGTCTATAATAGGAGGTATAAGAATGTTGGTACTGCCTTAGCTTAAAGAACTTACATATACAATTTTTTTATAACTGTAACCTTCTGTAACAACTGCTTGTTATGCATAATGCCTACACTTTACAATTGGGTCTCCTTTCAGAAATTCCTATTTCTATCATTATACTGTACTTGGACTTAATCACAGGGCTTCACATTCAATTACAGGCTCCTTATTAGGTTACAGAAGCTAAAATCTTTCAATTTTGCCTCTAGCCAGACTTGAACTGTTAACCTTAACTGTGGAGGGTATGAAAGCTTAATTACTAAGCTATAGAACCTACATTTTTTTAAAAAAGTTTTGAAAATTATATAATATTGTAATTTATAATTAAATTATAATAATAATATTTGTTATAATTAAGAACATCTAGGTTAAAAATCTTAGAAATATTACCAATTAGACTACTAGTATAAACTAAAAAAAAAGGATATTAGACCAATCTAATATATTGATAGACTAATTGTAGTTTTATATAGACTATTTAGATTGAGAGTCTGAAAAACAAACAAAAAAATAATAAGGATAACAATCCTAGTGTAGTGGTTGGGTTGTCATTCTCTAAGTGGCAGATCTAAGGTTCAAATCCTACCTATGGTGAAATTTGAAAATTAATCTGTGTTATAGCAAACTGTCTCTTAACGATCAGTTAAATTTGTGTATCTGTAACCTTAAGTCGCATCATCTTGAATAGAAGCTCAGAGCATCTATGCCAAATGTAATATTATATGTATATAGAGAAATGTTAATAACCAGTGTCATATAAGACTTTGGTGCAAACCTATAATAAGACCATTAGGCACAATAAACTAAAGAACTGAAGAGTCAGAAGCCTATTTGAAAATTCTCAAGTAAAGAGGTAACAGAACTTTTGACAGTATGGTCAAACTAATGAAAGCCCATAAAACACCTTTAAAAGAATAGGCAGATAAATTGGATATCAAGATGTGTAGAGGAGCATATAACCAACCAGACTGCCAGAATCGCTAAAAGAAAAGAATATATAAATATACTATATTAGGTTATCTGGATTGAAAGTTAGGGGAGTTCTATCAGTCCTAAATAGTGGTTAGTAAGAGATAATGAAAAAGATGTTATGATAATAAGTACTAGGGTTCAAGTGAACTTTACAAAAGTAGAAATAATATAATGTAGCAATTAAACAGATAACCTCTATGACTGCAAGTATTAGGTACTGTAACTATAACATATTGCATAAAACTAGATTAGCTATATGTAGAACATGGAAGGTTCTTGTAAGTTTTCTGTTGAGGATAAACTAGTCCTAAGGATCTCATAAGCATCAGATAGTTTGGATAGGTGTAGTTTAAAAGATGTCCCTGTAATCACAAGTCAGATTATATATGCAAAAAGTTTAAATAGACAAGACTCATAGTTGGCTTACAGATATGACATCTAGTATAGAACTTGTATAGTAATGTATAGACAGACTACTTAAATTAGGTACCAAAAATGCACATGTGACTAGTTGTAACCTCTTATGTATAGAAGCTTCTAGAGGCATTCATATCTAAATACTTGAATAAAAAATCGATTCCCAAAGGCAAGACTTTAACATTAAAAAAAAAAAAAACAAACAAACAAAAATATACTAAAATACTAGGTATATGCTATGAAGTTAATACTGAAATTTGAATAAACTCTACAAAAGCATAATAATTAAAAATAAAACTCTGATTGCAAGTATTAATTCTATTATAATAAGGGGTGTGGTGATTTAGTGAAATAGATAAGTTGTCAACCTTTTAAGTAGTAGGTAATGAATTCAAAACTCACTGATGGTAAAAATTTAAATAATCTTCTATATAATATATAGATGGTATTACAAAGACAGCATTCTGTTAATTAGTTGGGATAAGATACCTGTAATATGATTGCACCAGCATGACTGACAGGTCATAGAGCATTTGTGCAATATTGAAGTTACATAGAAGAATGCAAACCAGTATCAGATAATGCAAACCTAAGATAAGTCCTTGTAGCTATATAAACCTGTGAACTAAGAAGCTGAAACCTACTTAAAAAACCTAAATAAAGCAGTAGTACAGATCTTTAATAATATTACTATAAAGGCTAGATCTAGAAAACAAATACCAATGTAAAAAAAATCGAGCAAGCAAGAACCTTAAGTAAAAGGTATCACTAATCAGACTACTGAAAGTCTCAAACTGGAGAAAAAGGACCTTGAAAGGCAGCCATTAAGATATTAAAAACAGGTTATAGTCCTATCTGACTATCTGAATTGGAAGTCTGAGATCAAAAACAGAAATATACTATAAGTACTAGAGATATATTATAAAGTCAATCTGAGGTCTGGATAAACTCTGTAAGAGCAAGTCCTGTTAATAAAGACTAAATATGAGTAGTTAGTTAGCAGAAAGACATCTTTCAGTCTTATAATCAGGTAACATACTTTGAAATATGTAATGGCTTGACAAATGTACAGAAAGAAAAATCAAGATTAGGTTAGATGGTATCTAATATAGGTGTACAGAAACTTGTACATTATTTGTCAGTATAGTATAAGGATTAGAGTGTTTAAAATAGATAATCTCCTAGTAGATTGCAGATATAACAGCTAGTATAAAATCTGCTATATAGGCAAACTACTTAAATTAGACAACCAAAAATTGTACAAGTAACTAGTTGTACACTTATCTTGTACAAGTTATATAACTATAATTAAAAATACAATAAAGGCAGTAGTTGCTGATAATCACAGCTTTAGCAAAAGCAAAAAAAAAAATTCTATTATAATAATATTAGATCAGCTGTAAAAATAGGTACAGAAGGTTTTGAAAAGTTTATCTTAAAGATAAAATAGTTTTAAGGTTAAAACAATGACCTGAACATAACCTAGTAATATTAACACAAATATAAATTCAGAAAGTTTAAAATGAAACACCTAAGCAGGAGTATTAGGTATGGCAATTGGTAAAAAAACTCTTGGGTGAATTCCTTAAATAGGTAATATAGAAAAGTTACATATGTAACCAATTGTACATTCTTTCTGTAGTGGTTCACAAGAATCATATTACAAAAAAATTGTTAATAAAAGTCAAAAGACCAAAAAGATCACCTTAAAAAAAATTTTGTTTTATAGTTAAGACTAAAAATAATATTTAAGATAAGTATTACTTGTAGTAAAATTATACTAGAAAATTGTTTATTAAAACTTAAAAGGTGAGTTTATAAACAAAATTTTGAAAAATTATTGTTACAAATAATAATTATTATAATATAAATTAACAAATTCCAATTATATATGTATTTTTTTTTTAATAATATCAGTTAATGTTTAACACTACATATATTTTTTAAGGTTGGAAACCTAAACTATAATAAAAATATAGATCTAGATTTAGTTAGAATAAGGTTTTAAAAATACTAAACATTTTTGCTTAGTATATCTACATCTGGTATTTGTTTAACTAATGTTTGAAATATAGCAAACATGATATTAAACACCACTGGTGTGATGTAGTAAAACCATTTTTAAAACTTTTCATATTTAGAAAGTAATGAATATTATTTTTTGCCGCCACTGTATTACGTATTAGCTATCAATTATTCAAAAACAAATTATTTTTTATTAGTCTTGCAGAAAGTTTCGGGTATTTTTTAATTCTAAACTATATATATTTTTACAATGAAAATATCTAACCTAATTTTAAGTTTTATGAATCTACAAAAATTTTTTATACAATTTTTATTATTAATATATAAAAAAACAATTAAAATTAAGATTAATATCTTTATTAGCAATGATTATCCTCCAGACTCTATTTCTTCCATTGGTACCATCTCATATCTATCGCGATCAACATCAGTGCTTATTTTCGTTTTAGTAATATTACTAGCACCAGCTGTACTGCTGCTCTCACCAGAGTCCTCATTTAATAAGATAGGTTCCATCTCTTTTCGCATACAGTAAAGTTCACCCCCAAAGATCATGATAAAACAAGTTATCAAATTTAGTGCCCACCATACGAAAGTTGTAGGTAATCGACCAGAATAGTAACTCGTGATCAGTAGATGAAAGAAATGAAGGGTCAAACTAAAATCAAGGACAAGCCTTGCACGTTGGACAAGCCGTACTAGGAGATAAATTCTGATAGAAATTAACATAAAGTGACAATCAAAAATTTGTAAAGATAAATATACAAAAAATAAAACATATCTACAATTAATACGCACGAAGGCCACTTGCTTCTTTTTAAAAAGAAACGCAACTCACCCTACGACAGAATTTGCTATCCATGCAAAACCTATTGTCCATCCCAACACAGTATCAGCTCTGAACTCTTGATAATCTAATAAGTAATCTAACGTTATATCATAACCCGTAATTAAAAGTGTGAAGAGCGTGATGATAGAAATTGAGGTATAATACAAGGTCTGAAGAGCTATGATCTGGAAACAAAAAAAAAGAATTGAGTATAAACATAAAAGTCATCAACATGAACATTATTTCTTCACCTGTGAAATGATGAGAATTGGATCCCACACAGTTGTGCGAAAAGTTTGGTTTCTACGCATTTTTCGATATGTTGAAGTGGTAATTCATAGTCTTGGTTTGTGTAAACTATTTGTATGTATATAAATGATAAGCCGCACTTATTTATATTTAAAGTATCGTGATATTTCTAATTATTTCTAATCGTGTTTATAACGGCAAAATGAGAAAACGGGCGATTTAACAGGTAACAATGATTTGGTAGTTACAGCCTAACACTACAGTATAAAAAGAGTTTGATTATTCAATATGTATATTCAAACATGTGTATAAAATTTATTTTATACACAAAAATAAATTGATGTGCGCTATTTTTATTCTTCCTAGAAATACTTGTGATTTGCAATTTAAAGAACACTTTATTAAAGATTTTGTCTCTTTGGTGATACATCAGTTAACAACGTACGCACATACGTATGTAACGTACGTACGTACGATCTGGAGAATTTTCTAGTCAATTACGCGAATATGGATATAGGATAACTTTCTCGTGATCGATTAGTGAAATTAAAATAACTCGCCATGATTGGTCAAATTATATGGATCGTAAATTCGAATAATAGTATCATAAATCCAAATAATTTATCAGTAAATTGAAATGGAAGGCGGAGGTTCCAAAAAAAAAAATGCATTCACGGGGCCATATCGATATATAATGATCAACTTGAGAATAATCCTACATCTAAAGATTGCTTTTCGTTTCACAATCTATAGTATGCGTAATTAACAATTTAAAATTTTTACAGATATTTTCTTTAATAGAGAATAATATCATTGGTAAACTTATCTTCTTTGTTGAAAGATACATTATACAAACTTAACACTACTGTTAACAATTAAACCAAATTAAATTTAGATTACCATTGAGAAGCATTAGCCTGATTTATGAATTACAAAGACGGGTTGCAAAAATTTTTTCTATAAGTTTAGACATTGGCATTAATATAGTAAAACTTCTATAAATGCATGTTTTTTGAACCAAATTTTAATAACATGCACTTAAAAAGTTACAAGAAAAAGCACATTTATAGGGATTATATATATCTATAGGTTGAATTTGGTTGTGTTTTAGAAAAGTTGTATATTTATAAAAGATGAACTTATAAAGATTTTATTATATTAATTTATATTATTTATTTGGATTTTTTTTTTTTTTTTTAAGGTAATCTCTTTAGTCTTTGGATTTTTATTAATGACTTTTTTGGTAATGTAATTTTATAAACCATTACAGAAAGAATGTACAATTGGTTACACATATAATTTTTTTATATTACTGTTACAAAGTAAATTTTAGCATAGCATATTATATAATAGTATTAGTAGTTATATATATATTTATTATTGTATTTTATATATTATATTTATTATTAATTATTAGTTATTAGTTAGCTAATAGTTATATTATATAGTAGATATATAAAAGGATCTTAATTGGCTATTAGAAATGTGATATAATCATATAACACTGAGTAACATCTGTAATGTTACTATCATTTTACAAATCTCAAATATTTTTGTACAAGTTTCATATATCCTAATACCAAATTACTATGACAAATATTACAGCACAAGAATTTCAAGTATTTTTGATATAATCTCCAAATATTCCCATATGAACTTCAAGTATTTCTATACAAATTCCAAGTGCCTTTGCACAGATTTAAGTATCTAAACACAAATTTCAAGTATTTTAAATACAAATAATAAATCATATAAACAATATTCTTAGTTGTCTTTGCACAATTCTCCTTATACCAAGTATAGTATCATTTAATATTATTTGAACCTTTATTATTCCAAGTACAATAATACTAATATTGTTCAAACTCTATTATTTTGAGTATAATATTAAGTAATATTACTTAAATCCTTACTATTTTCACTAGATAAAAGATATATAAAAGGTATCTTTCTTCTTTCTTAACAATTCTAAGTTTTTATACTTCAATTCAAACATAATAATTTTTTAATTATAAAAATGATATTCTCTCTTTAAAATAATTTCTATAGACAAGATTGATATTCTATATTTTGTTTAATAAAGTTAATTTATATATTATTATTATTTTAAACTATTTGCATGCTGCTATATAGTAAAGTGAACTACTACACATTCACCCAGTGTTGTATATGGAACATGTTTCATCAATTTTATAGAAACATAAATGTTCAGGACAATATTTTATATCTCATATCCCAAATAATATTCCAATATGATATTGGTCATAGAACACTATTTTTTTGTTTTGGACAATGTTCAGAACATTATTGTCTGGAACAATATCTGTAACAATGTCCTATGTCCCATATTATATTAGGATGTTCAATGTATAATATAAATCAAAACTAAGTAAAAAAACTAAGTAATATGTAATTAATTAATCATACTAATATGCTTTTATATACATATAAACTTGGTCACTTTTTTAGATTTACAGATTGTATTTTTCTTTTTTTATCAATACTTTTAATATAAATTGTTTATTAATTACTATGACAATAAAGCTATAAAGGCTTTTTTTACATTGTTTATACAATGTTTTTTTTTCTTGAACTATCTTAATTGCATTTTATTTGGGTGACAAGACAAATATTTAAATTTATTTTAAAGTTTTTTGTTAGGTAGAAAATAAATTTTATTCTATAGTTTAGTTCTTTGAACTTCATATTGATCTTTTCAAAGTTTTACTTTGGAATTATATGTCATTAAGACTATACATCTTATTAAATCAAAGGAAAATAGATATTTACTTATTTTTTTTTAATGTTAAGATGACCTCTTTGGTCTTTTGATTTTTATTAATCACTTATTGGTATTGTGGTTTAATGAACCACTACAAGAGAGCATACAATTAGCTATATGTGTAACTTTTTTATATTATCTATTTAAGGAGTCTGCTTGAAGGTTCTCTACCAATTGCCATACCTAACACTTCTGCTTGGGTATTCTACTTTAAACTCTCTAAACCTGTAACCTGTATTAATATTACTGGGTTATACCCAAATGCTTAGATCATCATCTCAACCTTAGGACTAATTTATCCTTAAGGTAAACCCCTTAGAGTAGGGGCCTGCAAATTGCCTATTTTTGAGGCCCGGCCTGGCTCACAATTAGGGTTAAAAATTTTTTTTGGCCCGGCCTGGCCCATATTTAGGGTTACCATTTTTTTGCCGGCCCAGCCCGGCCCGTATATGTTAAATTTTTTCTTCAGCCCGGCCCGACCCGACCCAGCTCACAAAAATTTCTTATATAATTTTACAAATTTTCTGGCCTGCACTGGCCCACAATTATAAAGTTTTGCAAATTTTTCAGCCTGGCCCAGCCTGCAATTATAAAATTTTGCTTCAGGCCCAGCCCGGCCCGCAAAAATTTGCAGGCCAGGCCAGGCTGCGGGACCCAATGTAGGCCTCTACCTTAGAGCCTTCTGTATCTATTTTTACAGCTAATCTAGATATCGCTATAGCAGAATCAACACTTGTGGTCAAAGCTAACCATTAAACTGCTATGTTCTTGTAGAATTTACTTAGACCCCAGCATCTACTTCATAGTATAACTTCAGTACTTTAGTATATTTCTGCATTTTCATCTACCTTTTTACCAAACTTCCAATCCAGATAGCATGTATAGAACTATGACCAGTCCATTGGTATATTAAGTTGGTCTGATATCCTTTTCCTTCAGTTCATTTCGGCAGCCTAGTTGGTGATACTCTTGAGACTTCCAATCTGGAGGTTCTTGCCTGTTCAGCTATTATGACCAAGTACTATAACCTTGGTATCCATTTCCTCAAGCTAGCCTTTACAGTAAGATCATCAAAGATTTAGCTATTTCACTACTTAGGTCTTTCCAAATAGACTTTTTGTTACTCAATTTCAATGAATTTACATAATTACAAGAACTTATCTAGTGTTTGCACCATCTGATTTAGAGGTTATTTAAAGCCTGACATCTTACAAAATCACTCAAAGTACAGAAAATCATATAACATGGGCTATCTTAGTTTTGTGAAGAATGATATAAAATCTACTTTAACTACTAATCATAACACTAACACACCTAGTTTAATTATCATTATGCTGTTATAGTTTTATACTATTTTTTTTTGTTATTTATTATTATTATTATTATTTTTTTTTTTACTAGTTTTCTCATCAGCTTTTTTTTTTTCTAATATTTGTTTATAAGTTTGTCGAGATCTATTTCACTTATGATTTGATAAGGTTCACTTTTTTTTCATAAGTTATGTTTAATCTCATTTCAACAAGAGCAACTTACCTTTTTTCTTAGATCTAGGATTTGAACTTGGGCAGAAACTAAAATTGATAAGTATTTTTTATATCAGAATGTAAAAGTGGATCAGTAATGTGTTCTAAATTTTTTGGCAGAAAATAGAAACTATAATGCTAATTCCTCTTTTTTATTTATTTATTTATTTCTTTTGACAGATACTATATCTTCTAAACTTTAGCAGATACTAATTCACACCAGTTAAGAAAATTTAAGCTTGGTTCAGAATTAAGAATAAGGCTATATAAAGTTAATTTATTGTTTCTTATAACTCAGTTAGGTCAGCTTTTGTAAATTTTTAATATAAAATTTTATAAGCAAATACTTCCAGGTAAGTTTTTAATAAAAATTTTATATGTTTTTAATATTTTTTAGATAAAAACTTATAAAATTTTTGTAATTTAGAAATTAAAAGCTGGGCAGATAGGTTACTTTAAAATTTTATATTATAAAAAACAATTATTTAATTTTGTAAAATCTAAGATAAGTGCTGAATTTTTTTTTTTTGTTAATTTTTTTTTTAGCATATATTAATATTTTTTTGCATAAAGTTCTGTAGTTGAAATATAGAATTGCATTAAGATATGGGAATGTTTTTTTTTTATTTAATTACTGTGACAAATATTTTAACAATTTAGTTATTATAATATATAATTTCATGTTAGAATGAATAAAGTTATATGTCGAATTAAAACTAGCATTAGATTAAACAATAATGATACTATTCATGTCTTTGTTGCCATTTACTTAACTAAAAATTTATTTAGCTAACATTACATAGAGTTAGAGTTAGCATTTTATTAGTTGTAGATATATATTTTTAATAAATTCTTACTTTGATGTTAGTTAAATAAACTGTTGGTGATCTATATCTACTCTTATCCTAATATAAATTTTTACTCTAACCTTAATGAATCATATAGACTAACTTTCTTCTGATTGGATAATTACTTATAATTGTATTTATACAGTTTAAAGTAATTTTTAAGAATGTAACATTTCACAAGTAAAAAATAAAAATTAAATTCATCACTATTTTCAAAGAAGTGCCAACAGTCATTATACAAAATAATCACAAATAATCCTACACCTAAAGGTACCTTATCTAGAAAGTAAAATTTATACATAGGTTATGATTATAGAACTATATATAATTACTAAATCATTAATTACAACTAAGTTATTTAAAGAAAATTAACAGTACAACTATTTTTTTTTAACAATAGATAAGTGATTTCCAAATTATGTTAATAAGGTTTAAAGCATAAAGAATGTTAATATATAAGAATAGAGTTAGTAATATGTAAAAGTAATTAAAACTTTATATATATGTATATATATTAAGACTAATGAGTCTTATTATAACAAACTTTGAATATAATAAATGATATATTCTCAAATACTATATTGGTTTGGTATAAAACTATAAAAAGTATAATAAATATTTAAAAAGCACATATATAGATCTGTTTTTTTCTTTATTCTTTTGTTAAAGTAAAAAGTAATAGAAACCAATTAAGTTTATGAATATGATGTAATTTAATTTGTTGATTTATTTTTCAGTATTTTAGTAGAATTTTGACTTTTTTTTCAAAATTTATTTTTTATTTTTTAAAAAAATAATCTTTTTCTTGTAGTTGTGTTGGTTACATATGATAAGTGAGAAGTCATTAAGAATTTTTTTCTTATTAATGTTACAATATATTGAAAACATTCTGCTTACTGAACAATAGTAATATAATTATATAATAAGCAGTGTTTTTTGAAATATATTATAGTGCTATAGTTCTGTAGTTGTAGTTGCGCAATAGTCTATAACTTACAAATTATTGTGTTTTGTAAATTTTTTTTTTTTTTTTTTTTTAAGGTGACCTCTTTGGTCTTTTGACTTTTATTAATCACTTATCAGTATTGTGGTTCAATGAACCATTACAAGAGAGCATACAATTGGCTACATATGTAATTTTTTTATATTACCTATTTAAGAAGTCTGCCTGAAGGTTCTCTACCAATTGCCATATCTAACATCTCTGCTTGGATGTTCTACTTTAAACCCTCTGAACCTATAATCTATATTAACATCACTGGTCATCTCAGATATACCAGATCATCATCCTCAACCTTAAAACTAATTTATCCTTAAGGTAAACCCCTCAGAGCCTTTTGTACCCATTTTTACGGCTAACCTAGGTATTGCTATAATAGAATCAACACTTGCAGTCAGGGCTAACCATTAAATCACTATGCCTTTATAAAGTTCATTTAGACCTCAGCATCTACTTTACAGCATAACCCTGGTACTTTAGTATACCCCTGCCTTTTGTCCAGCCTTTTTACCAAACTTTCAATTCAGATAGCCCATGTAGGACTAAGACCAGTCCATCAGTATATCAGGTCAGCCTGATATCCTTTTCCTCCAGTTCATTCTGATGGCCTGGTTGGTGATACCTCTGGGACTCTCAACCCAAAGGTTCTTGCCTATCTGGCTACTAGGACTGGGTACTAGACCTGGGTATCCATTTCTCTAAGCTAGCCTTTATAGTAGGACTGTCGAAGATCCAACTATCTCTCTACTCAGGTTTTTCTAAATGAACTTCTTGTTATCTAATTTCAATGGATTTACATAGCCACAAGGACTTATCTAGTGTTTGTACTGCCCGATTTGTTGGTTTGCATTCCTTCATATAACTTCAACATTGCACAGATGCCCTATAACCTGCCAGTTATGCTGGTGTGACTGCCATTACAGGTATTCTAACCCAATCATTAGTAACAGTTATCATAATACGAATATTACATAGATGATTATCCAAATTTTTGCCGTTGATGGGATTTGAACACCCAACCTACCACTTGAGAGGTTGACAACCTGACCACTTCACTAGGTTGCCACACCTCTTTTTTATATATATATATATATAATATATATAGTTTTTTTTTTAATATGACAAGTAATTTTGCAGAAAGAGAAGAGATTATATTTGAAGAAATTGAAATTGATAAAGGTGAAGAAGTTTTGGTAATAAATGAAAGAACTGTTTTTGAAAAAAATAAAGTAGTTGTATTGAAAAATAGAAAGAGAACAACAAAGTGCAAATAATATCTGCAATAGATAAAGCATCAATAGTATATAAAAAACTTAAAGTTTATATGTTATAATCTACAACTCCTGATCAAAGACAAGCACTTCTCTTTAATGTTAGCAGATCATTTGAAGTATCAATGGATGAATTTGATTGTGAATAATGGCTGCTTGTTACAAATATGTGGACAAGGTTCAGCTATAAAAACCACACTAATAGTAATTCTTGGAAGTTATTTGCATGCCAATTAATAAAGCATAATCATTCAAGTAGTTGAAAGAAGAAAATTCCTGTTGAAAAGCATCAAAAAATGAAGGTTCACTTATCTAATCTATGCTTTATGAAAATTTGAGTATTACATTTTGTTAGTATACAAAAAGTGCAGATGGAATGATATAATGAAAGTATTGATCATACATATAAACTTGATAAAATTGAAAAGCTAAGGCATTCAAAAGCAATACAGAAATTAGTTAAGAAAGAAGTAGTCAAAAATTATTCACTATCTGCTATCACAAGTGCAATTAAAGAATATGCAACTAGGGTGTTGGATCTGAGCTTGAATGTTAAAAATCTAAAATGTACTAAGATTACAAACATTAAATACAAAGTTTGTGAAGTGCAAAATAATAATTTAAGAGGTAATAAAAATAAAAAAAGGATATAAAAGAAAGCATTCTTTTTTTGAAAGACCAAAGTTATCATATTGAACATTATATAACCTCTAGTTGGACTACTTATAGTCTTGTATTTGTACACTTCTTCAGTTTGTCAAACTTGAACAATATGGATGGTTAACTCTTATTGATTTGATTTATAAAACTAACAAGTACAATTGCTGTCTGTTTATTTTGTATATTCAGAATACATATAGCTGTTGAGATGTTGATGCACATTTTTTTGTTAAGAAAAGAGATAGTAACACAGTCTCAGATGCTTTAAAAATAATAAAAAAATTTGAAAGCCATTGGAAACCATGATATATCCTAACTAATCAAAGTTATATTGAGACAAATAGTATTAAGAAAGTGTTTTCTGGTCTTTGAAATAGTGAGCAAAAATGTGTCATGATTTTTTGTATAGTTCACATAATGCAAGTATAAATAAATAAAATATATAAAACAAAGGCCCAAAGAAAAATGATCTAAGTAATACATAAAACTACAAAAATCAGATGTGATGAGCTTATCAAAGAGGCAATTAATTCATATCAAGTTGCCAGTATAAAAAATTATATCAAATGAAATTATCAGAAAAGTTCAAATTATTGGGCCTTATAGGCTCAACAGCATTCTCACTTTTATTACAAATAACTTCAACAAATGCTCTAGAATCTTACCATAGTGAATTGAAGAGGATGACAACATCAAACTATGGTTTAATAGATATAGCAAAAAAATCATTTTTATTTAAACTAGTAGCCTGTTTTTTTTTTTTTAATCAAAATATTTTTGTAAAAAAAAAAATATAAAAAAAATAAAAAATAAAATAAAAATTTTATTTTATTTTTTTTATTAAATGTTATTGACACAAAAAAATAAAAAAATAAAAATTTTTTAAAATGTTATTCTATTTATATTAGTGCATATCATAAAATTATCATTTTGGATATAAAAAAATATACTGACACAAAACATGTAGCATTCGAATTTAGAATTAAGTAGATTTCAGTTATTGGTATTAATGATAAGATTCTTAGTCAAATTTATAAGTTTATATTTTTAATTCAAAAGTTAATTATTGATGAAGCTTGTGCTATTAAAAAAAGAGTTGAAAAAGATAAAAAATCCTCTGGTTTAATTTCGCCTAATTGTTTCAGCTTATTCTTTCATCAGTATTTACTTTTTTGTCAATATATGTTTTATGAATATATGTATAGTAATAAACAAATATTAACTTTAAATATGTAGAAACAATTTCAAAATATATTTAAAGAAAATAGTTTTAAAATATACAAACATCATAAATTAGTGAAAATAGAATTGCCTAAAAAAACTGAAGCTAAAAAAGCTACTGAAAATAGATATTTGATTTTCAATGAATTAATAAAAAGAATCTGAAGTGCATACTAAAAAATGAAGGATGAAGGAAGCCTACTAGAAAAATCAGAATTTATTAATGATTTAAGAAATTCTTTAAATCATATTTTAAATAAATAATATAATAAATAAACTTTTATTAAAAGATATTAAAAATATTATATAATTAAAATTGTATTTATCAAGATTTAATAATACTGAGATTCATTAAAGTTAAAGTAAAAATTTATATTAGGATAAAGATAGGTATAGAATACTAACAGCTCATTTAGCTGACATTATATCAAGTAACAATTTATTAAAAATATATACCTACAGTACCGAACAGCAAAAAACATCTAATTTTTTTTAGGAGCACCAAATTTAAGGAATGTAACACAAACTGTGATTGATTAATTTTTAGAAGTTGTCAAATTTAACTTATAAAACATGAGTTGTGATTGGTTAATTATCATATGAATTAATTATACATATTAAGGCAATAGAAATTTAGATAATTTTATTACATATTATGGGTCACAAAGTTTCAACATGTTGTAACCTTTTTTTTCTGCAAACAAAATTTACATTATATTTAGGGCTTTTAACCTGCTATATTAATTTGCTGGCCATTTACTGTGCCATGACTATTATTTGAAGTGTTTTTTTAATTCATCGAAGTTAGCTAATATATTATACATCTTTATTGATTACTATTTAGCCAATTAAATTCTAATATTATAGATCAAGAATGGCACTTTTGAATGGCTGGCAAATTAATATAGTGGGTGTATATTTATAAATTTCTGGTCACTTTAAAATTTTGTCAGAAATCATAATTAAACAAAACTTTAGATAAAATTTTATGTACTGTTTTAACACAGCTCAGATCTAAAACCTTAAACATAACTATCACTATATATTTACAATTTAAATTTAATTATTTCTAAATTCTGTTATATCTATTATTTGATATTATGCCACCAGTACATTACTATTTTACATCATATAATAGGTGTTTAAACCTTTAAATTAAGCTTCAAATCACTAAAAGATCTAATTGTTCTTTTATTAAAATAAGACTAAGTTCTAATCATTTATATTACTTAAATATTATTGAATATTAAATTTTTTTTTTTTTAAAAAAAAATAAACTCTATGATTATGAAGATGCCAGAACAGATCTATTTTTTTAAAAAAAAAAAAACAACTTCAGAACAGATTTTTTTTTTTTTTAAAAAAAAAAAAGTAAAACTGAAAGTTTTTTTTTTTAAAAAAAAGATAAAACTTCATGATTATAGAGATGCCAGAACAGATAAGTAAACCTTTTTTTTTAATTTAAAAATTTGTTAATTTGATTTATGATCTCTTTATTAATTATTCTATATTTTCTATTCTTTCTGATAGCATATTCTGCTGCTTTTCCAGTTAACCCATGCTGGTAAGCATCTATCTACTTATATAAAAATCTAGCAAAAGAGTGAATTTGTTTTACAAAAATGGTGTCAAAAGCCTGAATAATCAATCTTCTGAACTTTGGAAATGAATATTTACAGTTAGCTTAGATATACTTCTTGGCCATTTCCTAGTACATTTTGATATAATTAAGCTCAAAGTGAAACTTTGAATAGAAAATAACTTTATTTCTATGAAATTCAATTTTTTGTTAAATCTGACCACATTGTTCAAGAAAGTCAGGTTGATTAGTTATTAACCAGCATGCATAGCAATCAATAATATCTGGATTTGTCTTTTTTTTTTTTACAAGAAAGACACTTAAGTGTCATATTATCCTGCTATAATCCTCTTTTATCAAGAACTTAACAAATTCTTTTAGGCTGCCTGTGCAAATTCATATGTTTTTTTTTTGTCATAAATGAAATAATCATCTTTAATGACTATTGATTAATAGCCACCACTTCATGTCATATCCCACATTTTTAAAGCTGAACCATCTAGACCAAGGTTCATTTTTGAAGCCATAAGAGCATCCTCAGATAATACTTTATGAGATGTAATATTGTCAAAAGCAAATATACCTATACATTCTAGATATGTTCACTCAAAAATATTAATTGCCTGTTTTACTTGTTTGAGAAGTTTTTTAAAATCCCAATAACCATCCTAATTAGTATCCAAAATCTAAAAATTTCAGTTAAAAAATTAACATTTATTGATTTAAAAAATAAATTTACAAATCAGTCTTAGACTATCATTACACATGCTTCTTCTTGGCTATTTTTAAGCAGTCCTATAGTTTCAGCTAGGAAATTACTTATATGTTAGCAAAACCCAATCTTTTTTTTTATCATGGCTGTTCTTCTTTTAGACCTACACAGAATGTGGTCTATCATAAATATAAAAGGTAGTTTCATCATGTGTTACTTATATATGCTTCTTTTCATCACTATTTAAATCAGGAAATGTCCTTATTTTGCAATCTGGATTAACCTATTTGGACATAAATCATTCAAGCTAGACAACCTTCTAGATAAATTTTTAACAATATTTGACAATATTGAAGCATTCATGCCTGTCTACATATATACTTTTTTGATAATGTTGGAAACAAAAACTAAGTTTGTGCATCTACCTATGCATAGTTCTAACTGAAATGCATTGTACAGATTCAAGATTCAACTGGGAAAGGACTTGCTGTTCAAAGTAATTTTTAACTATAATAAGGTTCACTTTAAATTTTTGAGAGTGAAGATAGGAGAATAATTGAAGAAAAACAAACTTATTATGAAGCAGACTTTTTAAAGAAGATCTTTCTCAAAGATTTAGTTGGATTAACTCATTTTTTATATAAGTATTTACCTATTTTCTTATATATTGCACAAGCTATAGCCCATCATTGACAACATTTGTGCCAATTTCTGATGCCTTTATTTTCTTTTAATCTTGCAAAAGCAACTAATAAAAATAAAAGATGACCAAATAATGAGCCTTCTTTGTTTTTGAAAATGTTTTGTTATTTATTACACCATCTACAAATTCAATTGCACTGTAAATTTTTTTTTCATCTATTTCTTTGTCTGATTTGTCACCTGACTCTTCACCTAGTTCTTCATCTAGTTCTTTACCTAGTTCTTTACTTGGTTCTTTGCTTGATTTTTTGCCTAGTTCTTCATCACTATTCTATTAATTATCAATATAATAAATCCTATATCAAATCTTGATTTTTTTTTTTTTAAACAGCTTTTCTATCTAATTATCCTTATCATTATTAGCCACTTGTAGTTGAGTATTAAAAAAAAATTGTGTAATTTTCAAACTTCCTATGACCACTTTTCTAAATACCTTATTTTTTCTTTGCCAAATGCATTTAAAATTTCTAATATAAGTAGTAGGACATTCTTTTTTTTTAAAACTTACTGTCAAAGCTGAATGAAGTTGTTTAATTATTAAATTCATTTCATCAGAATTATCAAATTTTATAAAATTGTCATCTGAACTTTTATTACTAGAATAAACATATTCTTCACTTGAATCTACGTCAATAAGAGAATAAGATGCAAATGCAGAATGAGCTATTCTGCTTTTTTCTGTTGCAACTTTCTTATTCTTGATTGTATAGGCATTACAAAATAAGGTACAGTACATGTATAATAAAATTTTTTTTTTTTTTTTTTTTTTTTTTTTTTTTAGGCTCTTTTATATAACCTACATCATAATACCAAAGTTATTATATTGGTAAAAAAAAACCCAGACCTTAAAACTTGCAACAACAAAATGCACAAGTTTATTTGTTATGAAATGGGATTAGAGTCAAAAGTGTATCCATTATGTGGGAAGAACAATCAAATAGACAATTACTTGCCTATTGTTATTTTAATGAACAATGGTTGATGATTTAATTTTTATATAAATTAAGTGTATCTATGCCTTTACCCAAAGACACAGAATTATGCAATAAGAATTTGTAAATTATATATGCAGTATATGTAATATATACAATTTAGCATTAGTGTTAAAAAAAAACTTTGTAATTTTTTAAATACTGTGCTCAACTAACAAGTAATTTTTTAAATACTGCACTCAACTAACAAGTAATTTTTTAAATAATGTTATGCTTAACTAACAAGTAATTTTATAAAGATTGAGTTCAACTATCAAGTAATTTTTTAAATATTGACTCAACTAAAATTTTTAAATACTGTACTTAACTAAAATTTTTTAAATACAATGCTAAACTAACAAATTAATATGCAATTTGAGAATATGTATACATATTAATATGTAAAATTTTATGATTTTTCTGCTTTTAACTTTATGCAACATCATGTTAACTAAATAACACTAGTGCACATGTATGTATGCATGCAAATTCCTTGAACTCATTCATGCTAGTTATGTATATATGTTGATGTTTGATTTCATATTTTTTTTTTTTAAAGACTAACTTGTTATCATAATTTTGCCTTTATATTGTTTATTTTAATTATTAATCACTTGATATATGTTTTCTCATCTAATTTTGATTTATTTTCATAAACTACTATATATAATTATTGTGCATTAGACAGGTTTATAGACACACTTTGGCAAGAATTAATTTTTAAGGATTAGTTTCAAGTGATGAATTCAGTTGTTAAGCATTGTTAATAAGCACTGTTTGTAGATTTAGTATTGTTTTTATACAGTGAAGTAGTTTTTGCAGCATGTGTATAACAGATTTAAATTTTATCAATAAGCAGTAACCAATAAAATTGCTACCACGTGACTATGGTTAATATAATTGGTTAATTTTTTTGTACCAAATTTTTGTTTTATTATAAAAGTTACTGAACTTTGAGTCCTAATAACATTTTAAAAAGCAAGATATTAAAAATCTGTTTTACAGATTTGTGGTTTAGGTCATATATAATAAATTTGTAAAAAGGTTTTTTAAAATAATTACTTGTTATAAAATTATTAAAAATCAAATAATTGTCAAAAAATTGAATATTTTTTGCTATTCGGTACTGTATTATAACTATAATTATATTTAGATAATTCTTAATTTTAATTGGCTATTATTATAAATTGTGTAATCTAAGATTTGGCTAACCTCTCACCTTCAAAAATATTATCTAATATTTGTCATGCCCTAATATACAAGCAGACATCATTTCATAAAACCAAATTGGATGCAATAAAACAATATTTTTTTACCTTTATTGGATTTATTATGTATTTTTTAATGCCTTAACATATTGAATAATTTTTTTTGTCACTATTTTAAACATATTGTAATTGTTTTTTTTTTTTTTTTTTTTTTTTTTCTTAAGCAGTCATACTAGTGCTTTATTAAGATTTTGAAATTACATTTGCAATTATATAAATATCCTTAACAACTAAGCCCAGTATTACCTGGCCATCCTAATGGTACCTAAATGCAACCTGTTGCATTACTTTAAGCAGAAGTAAGCTACTTGTCTAACTACTTAAAGTCCATAATGAAAGAGTCTTCTTTCTTTCATGACAAGCTCTAAAATTGTTTTCTGTACTTCTTTTCTAATTTGGTTTTCTTTTTCTTTCACTTTTTTTTTTTTTTTCAATTACTTGCTGATTTGGTTTTCTTTTTTTCCTTGATGCTTTCTTCTTTTCTTCTTTTCTTCTTTTTATTCTTCTTGTTATTCTTTTCTTTTTCTCCTATTCGTTGACCTTCTCACATCAGATTCTCTATACTTGTTTGTAAAATACATCTCAGGCCATTCTTGCTACTACTTTTATAAACTGCTGTCTTGACTTTGTACTTAGGAGCTGCCTCAATCTGTCCTGTGTTTCTTTTAGAATAAGACCTTTAATTAATGCCTCTCTTGTTTTAATTTCCTTTGCTTCTGTTTTTCCAAAAAGTGCTATATATAATATATATGGAGGAACCTGAACTTTTTCTTCTTCCTTTAACCCCTTTCAGATTGTTGCAATAGTTACTTTTTGAATTATTTCCTATAGGTTCTTTTGTCCCTTACATGCTGCCAGATGCATCTATGTTTCTTTTGTCTTATCTTGACACATTTGGCACTCTGTTGTTGTATATACCTCTGGTCTTCTTTTGTTTAGTTCTTCTAGAGTTGAAAGCTTGTTTATTATGCACTTTATAAATGCACTTCTTCTAGTACTACTTCTTCTTGTTGTGCAGTATACTTCTTTAGATATCTTTAGCCTATTTCAAAAATATGTTTAATTATAAATTGTAACTTTTGTTTCTAGTTCCAATTCTTTAATTGCTTTCATTTCTTTCTATTCTGCTCCTAATTTTGTATTTGTTATCAATTTGCATAGTAGTCTTGCTGGTATGTCAGTATGTTTGTTTTCCTACTCTAAGCAGTACTCTATCTCTTTGCAACTGACTTTTCTAATCTGTATTATTTCTTTACTTGTTGCATCTTTTTTTGCTAGACTATCAGCTTTATCATTCTATCTATCTTTACTATGGCTTTTAACTTTAATCAACTCTATCTGAATGTTCTTTGTTCTAATAAGCTCTCTAATTTTCATTATTTATATTGCATTCTTTTTTTTAAGAAACTTATTTCTGCAAATTTGTTCTAAACCTCTACTAATGTTTCTTATTGCTGCATTGTTATCTGTATATATTTCTATTTGTTTCTCTCTTGGTATCGTTAAGATTGCAACCCATATTGCTACTAACTCAGCTATTGTCAATGTTTGTCATTCTTCTAAACCTAATGCCATCTCTTCTTCTGGCCATTCTTGTGTTTCGTCTGTTTGCATCCACCCTATGCCTATACTGCTTCTGCTTTTTATATCTTCTTTGGTTTTCAGGTTTGCTGCTCCATCTGTATATATTATGTACTTGTTCTTGTTTTTTGTTATATTTCTTCTTAAAACTTCTACTATTTTTTGACTAATATTATCTTTTAACTTTTGTCACCTGACTATCTCTACTTCTGGTTCTTCTAGTATTCTCAGTCCTTCTAGTTTCTGTTCTTCTATCACTGATTTGCTTGTTTTCATTATTTCTGTTATTTGATCTATTACTATCTTGATCTTATTGCAAATTTTTTATTTATACGAATTTTTTTTATTTATTACTGTCTTTTTTTATTAATGCATTAGGGATCACATTGATTCTGTTATTTACTCTTATCTACTGTTGGCAGCTATCTTCCAGATGCTCTTCTTCTCTTGTACAATCTTTACATTTGTTAATTTCAATAGCTAATTCACTTTTTTTACTCTGCATTTGCCAATGTTCTACTAGTATTTTTTTTTTTTCTTCTTAACTATCTTTTCCAACTGTTGGTTGTTTTGTGCACTATGTATTACCTATTCTTTCCTTTTTTTGTCTTCTAAGATACACTTCCATCTTATCTGTATTGCTTAAATGTTTTGTCTAATTGTTCTGTATTGTCTTTTAATTTCTTTATTTTCTGGTTTAATGAGCACTTCTCATTCTATTACTTTAAACCATTCTGCTTTTTTTCTCTTACTTAATAGGCCTTAGTAACTTTTCAACTGCTATCATGTGATTAATCTCTCTACTTTTGTATCTATTAGCTGGTTTAGATATATTATGCCTGCTTCATTTATTCTCATACTACTTCTTTTTTGTAGTTGTATATTTATAAGTTTTCTTATTTTGATTCCACATTCAAACATTGTCTATAGATTGCCTTCTGTTCTTATATTTATATTAAGTTTTCTTGCTTTTAACAATGTCAGACAAGCTAAGTTACTTTTCAACCTTCTATATTTTCTGACAACTCCTCTATTTTTTATATATCTTTCATTAAATCTGCTCTTTGGCACTCTTGTGTTATTCTTAATTTTGTTAACTGACCAAGACTATCTTGCCTGTTTAGTCTTGCTAATAAGCCACTTATTTGTTTTGTCATTAACTCTTGTTGTAATGTTTTGCAGCTTCCAAGATCTTTGTGTTCTATTACATAGTTTTCTAATGTTCTTTGTAGGTTGCTCTTTTGCTTCACCAAACTTATTATTGGTTGGTATATTTTACTTATACTTTTTTCTGACATTTTTGTTAGTTGTAGCATATAACTTAGTTTTGGTATTATTACTATATTGTTTATATATGCAATCTGGCTCGTCATCATCTTTTTGTATTTAAGGTCTCTTTGATTATTCCTTTAGCTTTCTTTTTAACTAGTACTTCATTTATTCTATTATTCAGCCATATCTCTAGTAAACAAACTATTTTGTTCTTTGCTTCTTCTGTTATTTTGCTTCCTCCAAAGGTCACTTTTCTTTCTTCTTTCTTTACTTTTGTGTTCATTATTAATAGCTTTAATTTGGATCCATTTATCTCTATATCATTTATTTTATAAAATTCTTCTGCTATTTTTAATATTTTTATTACTGTTTTTTACTATTTGCAATCCATGTTGTGTCATCTGCATATGCAATGGCTGCTTGGCAGTACTTTATGATGTTGTTGCATTGCATTCCTCTTTTAACCTGTTGTTCTACTGTGTATCCTAAGTTTTTATCTTCTTGTATTCTCTCTAGCAGTAGATCGTAAAACAGTCATCATATTAATGAAAATATTACTTCTTCTTGATCTATGCTGTCTCCTGCTGTTATCTCTTCTGTTAGAC